TCACCCCGTCACGGGATCCGCCGTCGAGCCGCCTGCATCCACGCCTGACACGCACCACCGCAGCCGGATCCGTGTACGTGGGGCGTGGAGCGGCGGCCGGATGCGCCACCCCCTCGCCTCGCCATGCCATGTTGGATCCGCCGACGCCGCGCCTTCCCGTGCAGGATTATCCCCGGATCCATCATCGTGCCGGATACGCCCTACCATGGCCAGATCCACGCGCGTGGGGCGCAGATCGGTGGCCGGGTGCGCCGCCTCGTCGCCTCCTACACACCGTCAACCGTCGCCTTCACGCCTGCAGCCGTGCCGTACCGGATCCGCCGACGTCGCGCCCGCCGCTGCTCGGCAGAGGAGGTGGTGCTCGACGTCGCGCCGCCAGCCGTGCCATGCCGGATCTGCCCAATGCCGCCACCGCTCACCGCCACACCCGCTCGCCGCTCTCATCTCCGAAAAAATAGGATCTAGATATGTGGTTGGTTACGGGGTGGATGTACAACACTGGTATATATATACACTAAAAGTTGGGTAACATCAAGTTAAAATTTAACTTGGATTATGGGTGTGGGAGAGGGCGCAGGTGTGGGGTGTCGTGAGTTAAATTTTAACTCAAATACGTAGTGGTGGGTGGGGGGAAGGTGGGACAGGGTGGTGGTGCGGCTGTGTCAGGCACCATCTAATACATGGCGCCTGCAGCACCATATAGTAGTTATATATATATATATATATATATGACACTCATATGGGGCACCATGGTGCCCGGGCAACATGGTATGAAATACACAAATTCATCCAAATTTTTCAAAATTTTCAAATTGTGAGTATATACCTAGTTATAAGTATTCAATTCATACCTATACCTAGCAACAAAACAACTCAAATTTAACTTTATTTCACAATCGAATGTTGCATAACTAACTAATTATATGTTTGGATGCAATATACCTATAATCAAAATATAACAAAAACAAGTTCAAATTCAGTTCAAACTTGCTTTGAACTAGTTAGTAAAGTAGTTAATGTTAATACCTAAATATTTTAAAAAATTTCATACTCTTTTGAATTGGGTATATACTCAATTTCAACAATGGTGCCCGGGCACCATGGAGCACCAAACAAATTTACATAGGAATATATATATATATATATATATATATATATATATATATATATATATATATATATATATATATATATATATATATATATATATATATATATATATACTATTCTATACCCGCCTCCCTCCCATGGGCTAAACTCACCTCTCCTCCCTTCCAAGAGGCAAAAACCCACCTCCCACCTCAGTCAAAGGTCAGTCAAAACGCCCCCACATCGGTCAAACCCGTGGGACTTCCTCCACAACCCACCTCTTCTCAGCACTCGTCATGCAGGAATTATGCAGTAACGTGACAGTCATTGTGCAGTAACACCATGTATTACTTGCAGTAACGACGTTAAAATATAGTTCAAATATAGTCATGATGGATCTAGTTTTGATAAGCACTTTTTTTTACAACATTATGGTGAAAACGGTTTTTAAAAATAATGCATATCTTGTGAGATATTACTCTTCAAAAATTGACATTTTAAAGTTTATCCTCCACATGCAGTAACACTATAGCATTACTGTTACTACCGCATCTTCCGTGTTACTGCAAGAGTACAGTAACGACTGCATGTTTTACAGTAACATAGTGTGTTACTATAATTGCTTAATAAAGTTACTGCATGAACATAGTAACAACCAATAAGTTATCGATGTTTTTTTCAAGGAGAAAAAGACATTGCATGAGAGGTTGTTTAAGCCCTATTACATACATATTTTCTTACTTGGAGCCTTCGAGAGATAATGGTGATTGTTTTGGAGTGCTTTGTGAAGAATTGGGGGAGCAACGATTCGGGAGAAGAGGGATGATTAGTCAGTCTACAACTTATTGACTCTTAATAGCAAATCTACAACCCGTCTGCTGACTCCCCCCACCACCCACCTTTTCTTAGCTCTCGTCTCACAAGAGTGCAGTAACAAGACGTCCATTATATAGTAATATCATGTCTTACGTGTAGTAACAACGATCAAATATAGTCATGATGGATCTACTTTTGATATGCACTTTTTTTAATATCATGCTGCAAACGGTTTTAAAAATAGTACATCACATTAGAGATATTGCTCTTCAAAGATTAGTCTTTTGAAATTTAACTCTTCACAAGTAGTAATATTATAATATTACTTGTTACTACTTATGTGTTGTACGTTACTACAATCGCATCGCGATGTTACTATCAGTGTGCAGTAAACACTATAAGTTTTGCAGTAACAATGCGTCTTACTATAATCTTTGGATAGTGTTACTGCATAAACATGTGGTAACATGTACCTGCCTTGCAGTAACACTTCCACTTTTGTGCAGTAATTCAGTTCTCGTTCTGTAAGAACAGCGTAGTAACATGACAGTCAACGTGTAGTAACATGATTGCTTTACACAGTAACAACGTCAAAAATAGTCATTATGGATCTAGTTTCGTTAGACACTTTTTTATGAACATTATGGTGCAAACATATTAGAAAAACAAGATATTATCTGAGAGATGTTGCTCTCTAAAGATAGAGACTTACCTATTTTTAGTTCTCGTCCCGTAGGAACGGTGCAGTAACACGACGGTCAATGTGTAGTAAAATGACTGATTTCCACATTAACGATGTCAGAAAATAGTCATGATGGATTTAGTTTTTATAAACACTTTTTTATGAACATTATGGTGCAAACGTCTTAGAAAAATAAAATTGAGTTAAAGGTTTTAGCTCTAGACAAGCATTAATACCGCTGTTACTGTTACACATTCTCTGTTACTGGAATTTTCAGCATGATGTTACTGCCGAAAGTGTAGTAACAGACTATAAGTTTTGCAGTAACGTATCATGTTACTACACTTTTTCGATAACGTTACTGCTGGTGTGATTCCTACAGTAACATAATTAATTTGTTCTCACAAATTGAACAGACATACAAAATAAAAAACAAACAATTATGATCTCTAATCACATAGTGTCATAGGGTGAATGGGTTAGGAAAGCTTCGCATGAACAATGAGATCATGTTTGAATTCACCAAATTATTTTTAATTTTTCTAGAAAAGAAAAGAAAAAAAGGTTTATTCCTGAAATAAATGAGAGAAGGGAGGAAGAGAAAAAAAGCGAAGAAAATCAGAGGGAGATCGGGAGGGAGAAAAAAAAGGAGAGAGAAGGGAGGAAGAGAGAAAAAGCGAAGAAAATAAGAGGAGGGAGATCGGGAGGGAGAAAAAAAGGCGAAGCCGGAGGGGAGGAGGAGGGGAGAGAGCGAAAAAAAAGAAGGGGGGGAGGGAGCGATGGAGGTGGAGGGGAGGGAGCGAAAAAAAAGAAAAAGGGGAGGGGAGGAGCGCGCCTGGAGGAGGGGAGGGAGCGAAAAAAAAAAAGAAAAAGGGAGAGGAGGGGCGCGCCAGGAGGGAGAGGGGAGGATGGCGCACGTAGGTGGTGCGGGACCGGGGGAGGGAGGGAGGGAGGGGTACAGAATAGTTATTCTATAGGGGGTGTAGAATAGTCTTACCCTATATATATATATATATATATATATATATATATATATATATATATATATATATATATATATATATATATATATATAGGCAATGTATCCTATGCACATACCTATCTTGGTGCACTCATGCACTCGGCCACTGTCGGCCCTTTGATTCTAATCCAAAGGCTAAAAACGTAGGTACGGCATTTTTACAGAAAGCCGCCTGCAACACCTGTGTATGTTTGCAGAAAACCCCTCAGTTCCCTTCATCTTCTCTCGTCCAAACCTCCTCGATCCAAGTCGATCCCCAAATCTGCTCTATCACCTTCGGTCGGGGCCGGCAGGACTCGTCGTCGGCGCCTGCAGCATGGCTGTTGGTGATTTTGTGTCCATCTACGCGCAGCTGAACATCGAGCTGGCCGAGCAAGCAGCACAGTGGCCCGTTTGGCCGTCAAGCAGCGACATGACTGGGGAGCATCGTGGTGTTCAATCGAGTAAAAATGGCAGCGAGGCTGCCATATCAATAATTAAAATAGGCCATGTCCAACCAGGAGAAAAACAAGAAGAGAAATCAACAAATAAACATGGACATTATAGCTGAAGAATCGAGAGAAAAAACACGAAGAGACTCGCCGGAACGACGGCCTCCATGGCTCCATGCGGACACTATAGATGGAGACGAACCATTCAGCGAGCAGCTGGACAGCCACGCCGGCTGTGAAGGACAGCGCCGAGGCAGCCGCAGCCTGGCGTGTCGGCCGATGCTAGCCCTAGCAGCAGGATTCAATGAAAATCGAGATGAATCGTCGTTCTGTTCAGCCCCATCGCACGGAGATGAGATCTGGATCGAGGAGGTTTGGACGAGAGAAGACGAAGGAAGTGAGGGGTTTTCTGCAAACATACACAGGTGTTGCGGGCGGCTTTCTGCAAAAATGCCGCACCTGCGTTTTTAGCCTTTGGATTAGAATTGAAGGGCCGACAGTGGCCGAGTGCATGAGTGCACCAAGATAGGTGTGTGCATAGGATACGCTGCCCCACATATATATATATATATATATATATATATATATATATATATATATATAGACACACACTATACTATACTATACTACAGGGGTGCGTTGTATTAAAACGCAACCCACCCCACCCCCTCCCCATAGGCTTAACGTACTACCGCACCGAACTAAATCACCAGTAATCTATTTACTTAGCTATTATGCGTATATTCATATTAGGATACAACCAACCAACCATCGATCCTATTTTCCTGGATCTGATACCATCCACTTCCACGTTGTTTTTCCCGGATCGAGCAAGAGGGAGAGAGCACGGGCGAAGGTTGGCGGCGGCGGCATCCTCCAGTGGCGGGTTATGGGTGAAATCGGTCGGAGACAGCGGCGCATCTACGGTCAATGGCGATGGCGAACAGGTTCCCTCCCTGTTTGTTCCCCCTTCCCATCTCTTCCCCCCTTCGGTCTCTTCTTTCTCCTCTGATCCTCTCCCATCCTGGCACCGACGTTCACTTGCTGAAGGTGGCACACGACGGCATAGGGCAGCGGCGCATGAGAAAGGAGGAGGCAGCGACGCATGGTGGTGGTTGTGTCGATCTTCTCCATTGTGCGATGCATGAGGAAGGAGGAGGCAGCGGTCCGTGCAACATGCCAAGAAATTGCCGTGATGGACATCGATTTAAGAACCAGGCCCGTCGCTGACCCAAGCTCCTTCACTCCGATGAAAAGGTAATGGATCTTAGACTAGGCTTTGCCATGCCGATCTGATCCTCTTTCTCGTGCTTTTTTTTTACCTTCCTTTCCATGCTTATGGATTTTTCCCTTGCTCCTGTTTTCATGTGCATATATTCAGAATGCAAACGAAAGTGCACCCAAAATTTATTGTTTCCATAGATTTGCAGGTTTCCCGATCAGAGCACACACGTTTCCCAAGTTCTCACTGAGGTGAGTCAGATCCAACATCAACCTTCTCCACGGAGCCGTGTGGACTGTGGAGGACGAGGCAGTGCTGCCTGGCAGACGGAGCGGAGGGAGGAAAGCCAGCGCTCAGCTCCTTTCTCAGAACCAGTGTAGGCCATCAATCTTGCTGTGTGCTGATCTAGCTGCATATTTCGTTGACGATCGCATGCACTCCCTGTTCTTAATTTCTCTACGCTTGTTTACTCTGTTAGCCTTTCTTCACAAATTCTAGTTTCTAGTTTTTCATGCCTTTGACTGCAATTACAGAAGAATCTTTTTAGTTGATACTGGCATGTCCTACCGGAGCACTGGCAATCGTATATAAAGGCTATGGATTAAGTGTTTTTAGTTGATCCAGATGACTCTGTACGACTGTACCTATCTAGATAGTATCAGAATCTATTCTAAATTTCATGGACAACAATTCATGTCCTCATGCATCAATTAACTAGGTATTTATTTTATAAAGAGTGAAAATTGGCATGGTTTCTGCTTTAAGTAAGATCTCAGATCGATTGATCATGTGCATGTGTGCCTCATGCAGGATGAAATTAATCATGAAAGATTTCTCGGTAATTAGTCATGCCTTCTATGTAAAATTAATATTAAATGAGTGTTCATGTGTCCACATGTATGTGTCATCAGTTCACACAGCTTGTGAAAATTCGGTGTTGCGACAGGAACTGAACATCTGCATCATGATAAAATAAATAAATCTTCAGGATAAAAATTTAGATATTCACAACTTAAATCTACAGGATGATATGCATAACAGTGTCCCATCGTTGTTTTTCTGCATTGTCAAAAATCAGTACTTAGCACTGCCAACACCATCATCTGAGCGTGCAGTAATGCTTTAGTTCGTCTCTATTCTCAAGTGTGGGAATATTGATTGATCTTGGTTTCGATTTCGCTTAATTGCACAATGTTTGGTTGCAGGCTAGGACAAGGCCTCCAAACAAAACTTCTACGGTTGTTGGCACATGCGCCATCGTCGTTTACGATTTGTCCTCCGCCGATCCAATTGGAGCAGCAACATCTAGTTTTTTCATTTGTACAATCAATATGTATGTGTACCCCCGAGTCTTTATAAACATGAAATGTAGCTGTAATTTATTTTTGGCTATATTGATTTGTTGGTAAATATGTTACTGTAGTAGTTAGGGAGTAATTTCCCCACAAAAAAAAAAAGTAGTTAGGGAGTAATTTATTTTTATGAGAGAAGATTGAAGTAAATTTGTTGTTAGAGCGATGTGTTAGTACGTTTTTATCTGGGAGTAATTTATTTACCAAGAGAATACCAGAGTCATTGTTGGTATGGCTATATCAAAAGTAATCAATTTACTGAGTGAAGCATGGAAAAGTAAAAAAAAAAAAACAATGGCTAGATTAAAAGTAATCCATTTACTGGAGTAATATTTGTTGCTAAATCAAAAGTTTTTACTGCTAAATTGTGAGAAATTTATTTACTGATAAAACACCATAGTAAAAATTGTGTATAACCAAAGAGTAATTTATTTACTGATAAGGCGACGTACTTAGTATATTTCGTGTGTAATAATTTATTTACTAAAGACCATGAGTGGGACTGATTTATTATCAAGAGAAGCACCCGTCCAAATAGTAATCTATTTACTGTGTTATTAACAAGATTAAATTGTGAAAAATAAAGAGAAATACAGGTATTTCTATTGTAAATGATCCATCAAGGATAAAAATTATAACGATCAGTAGTACGGTTCCCTACAGGGCCTTATTTAAGATGTTAGTAATTCTTTTACTCACGGGCTTAAGCGCGAGTAAATCTTTCACTTACAGGCCCATCTAGAGAGGGCCTATTAGTAATAACGTACTCAGGGTGCGGTTTAGCGCCATTTTCCTATATATATATATATATATATATATATATATATATATATATATATATATATATATATATATGTATATATATATGCGATGTATACAATTACTCTGTCTCAAAATATAATAACTTTTAGCCCTCATCATTTGTCCCAAAATATAACATTTTCTCTACCAATATTATCTTCACAACCAATCATAATCCTACAACATTTATTTTTTCCACCTACCTCCACCTTTATCTAATCACAACCTTCCGCCACTCACTTCTACTTACTTTCTTAATAACCGTGTCCAACCTTAAAACTTCTTATATTCTGAGACGGAGGGAGTGCTAATTAATAGTATCACCTCATGAGGACGGTGACTGTTTTCTTGTCCCAGTCGTGGCCATTTGCCAGGACCTCCCGGAACTTGGGGCGCTGCTCCCTGCCGCCGCCGTAGCGGCGCGCCGGCTGCTTCGGCGTCGGCAGCGCCGAGAGCGCTGCCACGCCACCGTGGAGCATCAGCACGACGTCCCACATGGACGGGCGGTCCTCTGGGTCCTCCTGGACGCACAGCAGCGCGATGTGCGCGCAGCCCACAATCTGGCCCATCAGGTGTGGCGCGTCGCCGCCCACGCTGATGCGCAGGGACGACCGGATCAGCCTCTCCGGGTTCTTCTCCTCGAACACCAGCCTCCATGCCTACATCGGTTTTGTACAGGCCGGTATAAATTTTGTTCCATGTAATATATCAATCTACAAGACATTTTATAATACAGGGGCTATTTGGTTCTCTACCTTATCAAATCATTGGTAGTACCAAATTCTTGGCTGTTTTGGTACTACCAATTTTTGGTAGGGTAGAGATTTAATTATACATGTTTGAATTAGAAGAAGGTTCTAGATTATTGACAAATTGATCATTGGTGTTACCAATAACTAGCTGGGTGGCCCGCGCAATTTTCACGGCTAGCACCCAAACAAAATCATATTTTTTTAAGTATGATTTTATTTAAAATTTATTAAATAGCTATCTTATTGTCTTAAGTCTTTGAAAGACCAAACCTTATCATCCTCGTGTTTATAATTACATAGTTTTTTAAAGTCACACCAGTTACTACCCCTTATGTCATCTCCTTCTTTATTTGCTTGCTCGATCTACCACTATTTCTATTCATTCTTCTTGTAACCATTAAAAATTGGATTTTATAGTTTTTAGAGTTTATTGTTACGTGGTTTCATTTTTATAATTTCTAAATGTCATGTCAAACATTGCCATTATACTCCTTTACGACCTGTCCACTGTCTCTTCTCTTTATTGTCATTGAGATTTTAAAAATCGAACATAATTATCGTTTGGGTTCATTTTTACCTTTTAGAAGTCCCACCAAACCGTCAGCGGCTTTGCCATTGTACTCCTCTACGGCTTGCCCGCTACCTCCCTTCTTTTATTGTCATTGAGATTTTAAAATCGAACATGATTATCATTATTTTTTTTTTACTTTTTAGAAGTTCCGAAACTTTAAAAATTGGACTTGTAGTTTCATTTTTTATATATTTTTAGAAGTCCCATCAAACGATGCCACTATGCCCCTCTACAGCCCGTCCGCCACCTACTCTTTATTATCATTGTGATTCTAAAAATCGAACGTAACTATCGTTGGAATTCATTTTTTATTTTCTAGAAGTACCATCAACCGTCAGCGGCTCTGCAACTATACTCTTATACACCCCGCCCGCTACTTCTCTTTTTTATTGTCATTGAGATTTTAAAAATCGAATATGAGTATCAATAGGGTTTATTTTTTTACTTTCTAGAAGTCCCGGCAACCACCTTACTCGTTTGCTTCACGGCCTGCCTGACGTCCCTCCTTTTAATCGTCATTAGGATCTATTCGTTGTTTTATTAACAATTTTTATACGTCGTATCAACCGCCACCACTCTACTCCTTTATAGACATGTTACATAATTTATTTATCATGTGTTTTAGATGGTCTTTTCTTTCAATAATCTTTATTTTTATCACAAATTTTAGTTTTTATAAATTGTATTCCTAATTGAAATCTTATTTTTCTTTTTCTAATTTCAGAACTTTTTTTAAAAAAAAACTTTAGTTAATACCGTATTGTGTTCTTTTAATGTTTTTATTTTTATTTTCAATTTCATTTGTTTGAAAAATGTATTCCTATTTAAACTCTCTTTTAATTTTTCTAATTTTAGATTTTATTTTATTTTATTTCTAATTTCGATTAATCTCGTATTAGGTTCTTATATGGAAACTTCTTTCAATATTGCTTATTTTTAATTCCGAATTTCAGCTATTTTTAAATTGTATTTCTACTTGACTCTCCTTTCCTTTTCTAATTTTGGATTTTATTTTATTTTTATTTTGAATTTTGATTAATCTCGTATTGGGTTCTTATATGGAAACTTCTTTCTATATTGCTTATTTTTAATTCCGAATTTCAACTATTTTTAAATTGTATTTCTACTTGGATTCTCCTTTTCTTGTTTTTCTTTTTCTCCGATTAATGTGGAAATTTCTAGCTCCCACAGCGAACGTGGTGCCTCCTTTTAAAGCTGTTTTAATAATGTAATAGATTTGTCTTCAATCCAAATCCATACTATTACTATTCAAGATACTAATAAATTTGTAGTGCACATTTTGGCACCAATCCAAAATGCCCACAATCCTATAATATAACAATCTATAACCGAATTAGACGCTATTCGGTCCTATGTTGTTATTTTATGGGACGGAGGGAGTACTACTTAACAAATAGAAATAAGTATTTACTAATCCCTCTTAAATTCAAATTGTAATTACAACATAGTAGAACGGTACAATAAATCTTGACCAAACCTATTCCATATTGTAATACTTTTGGGACGGAGAGACTACTATATAATACCTTGTTCATTCCTTTTATTTTCTTAATTGAATAGTTTCAACATTCAAATAATAATAAAAAAGCTTTTTCCCCTAAATTCTTTGTTTGGTCTAATTTTGATCCTACAATTTAAATATAGGATAGCTAGAACACATCCTTATCTTTTAGTACCAGACAGGTTTGATCCCTTCTATTGTTCAAGATGGTTTTGGTCGACATGAATAGCAGAGTTGGTGGAAAACTGACTTTGACTCAATATTAAAAAGAATATATTTCATAATACTAAAAAACCTTAACCAAACAATGGTAAAACTACTTATTTATACTGCTTGCTTAAGGGATATATCAAAAAATTTTAAATTTAGCACCAAAGTTATTATCAAATTACATATTTAAGTTATTTTATTGCAAAACCACGTAATTAGCACTAATTTTATGGCAGGCTTTTGCAACTCCAAAAGAGCAGTAGTGTTACGACGGCTCTAAACTGTGGAATCAATAGTTTTGTGATTAATTTTCAATACTCCGTATATCAAACAATATATAGTTTTAGAGTAAATTATTTTATATAATTTATCACAAAACCACATATTTAAGAGCTTGTTTTACAAAACTATAGATTTTGTGTCTCCATTTATCACAAAATTATAGGTACTTTGTACAATCTATCACAAAACTACAGATTTAAGAACTTATTTCACAGAACTATAAATTTACTATATTTGTTTAACACAGAACTATACATTTAATGTCTTCATTTATTACAAAACTACAGATTTAGTGTCTCCATTATCACAAAACTACAGGGTTTAACAATGCTAAAACATGTTGTTTTGTGATAATGAGGACACTAAACATGTAGTTTTGTGATAAATGGAGATATTAAATGTGTAGTTTTGTTAAACAAGTTCTTAAATATCTAGTTTTGTGATATATTATGCAAAATACATGTAGTTTTGTGATAAACGAAGACACTTAATCTGTAGTTTTGTTGAACAAGTTCTTAAATCTGTAGTTTTGTGATAAAAGTTTGTAGCAGCGGGAACAATGTTGACGGCAGCGGCCATTACTGGTTGTTGCCATAGCAGTAAATTCTTCTTTTCTAAATGTTTTTTCTTTCCATTCGGTTTGAATATAACAAAATATTGGTTGTGGTGTCCCTTAGCAAATTACGAGGTAGTTGGGTGTCTTACAACCCCATCACGTTTTTGAGGTGTCCAGTAGCAAAGATCGCAAGCTAAGTGCACTATATCTAAATTTTACCATTTTAAAAGGAGGGGATAGCTGCTGATGGGTGGGCCCTACTTCCACAAGCATAAGCCATTTCCAAGTTTAAGGTTCAGTGTGTTTCTGTTTTGAAGTATCAAGTTAATGGGAGGACAAACAGAAGTAAAATATCAGAAGAAAATATTCTCATATGAGACAACAGACTGAGTCTACTTACATATTCGTGAAGACTTATGGACTTCCTTTCTCTAATCGAGTACCAAGTTCCGTTCCGCTTTCCACTTACGATCTCAAGAAGCAGGCTGCCAAAGCTGAACACATCCGATTTACCCGAAAATATTCCTCTGGTTGAATATTCCGGAGCCATGTAACCGCTGCAAGATAGAATAAGAAAAATAATGTGACTAATTATCGTTCTCAGTACTATATAATAAAATACGTATAATAATTAATTTGCTTTCGTACTATGTTCCTGAAACAGTGTCTGTCCTGCGACCCTTGTTCGGAAAACCGGATCTTGCCGTACCAAAATCAGAAATCTTAGGATTCATTTCAGAATCCAATAGAATATTGCTGAGCTTAAGGTCCCTGTGGATAATCTTTAGCCCCGAGTGCAAGTGAAGGTACACAATCCCTTGAGCTATACCTTCAATTATCGCAAACAACCTATCCCAGTAGAGAGACCAATCGGTTCTTGGGCCTGATAAATGTGTTTAACAGAATGGTGATTATGAGATCAGGGTACAAATTAAATCATTTATAGACTTAGTTATTTAAGAACATAATCCTCTGGGGACTTGTCAAAACATACCAAATATGAATTTATCGAGGCTTTTGTTTTGCATATACTCGTAAACCAAGATCCTTTCTTTTCCTTCGATGCAGTATCCCTTGAGCGTCACGATGTTTCTATGTTGGAGCCTAGGAATGAATTTAATCTCGTTTTCAAAGTCAGACAGACGCTCTGGGCTCGATTCCACGAAGCATCTCTTGACAGCAACTGGAAGTCCATTCAGTTGTCCCTGATAAGTGATCAAATAGAGGAAAGTAAACCATATGAAATATAGAAGGCATGCTCCAAGTGGTCTTAGAGCAAACTTATAGTCTTGATGTAGTAATTGTCAAAAATCAATAAAGCCTTCTTTATTAAAAAAGGAATACGGAAGGCTATGCATTGGGGAAGGCATGCAGCATGCTACCAATCTGGATTAAGATTAATTGTGGTGATTGCATATATATTATAAGCGAGTACATAGCTAGGCTCCGATCCTACAGTTACGCTAAACTCTGTGAATTGGGTAGATGATCGTTTATGGATGTGCTCGTCTGCTCGCATCCGCTCAGACTTCAGAGCAAGCCTGTTCTATAAATCCCACAGACGACCTACTAAAAAAAATATAGAGGCAATCGCTCATTCAACCCTATTCTAAAGCTTAACTAACAATTTTATCCTACCTTCTCAAGTTGGCTTATTTGATCCTTTTTCAAAATTGAATGAGATAACAGTGAAGACAAGATAACAGTGTTAAGTAATTAAGGGCAGTGGAGTGTAGGCATTGGTGTCAACTAACACCAATTACTTCTTGCTAATCTCTTTGCTAATACACTTTGGAAACAAGAATTACTCTCTTATATATGCATTGGCACCACCATATTTGAGTAATGACCCCAATGACTATATTTCCTGTACCCGCCCCTGACTAAGGGGCAAATTATCTTTTTTGCACTTACTCATTTCATCGTGCTTCTTTTTTTTATCCAAACTTTTGACATATTTGTAACCAATTTAGCATAGTTTTAATAGATTCGAGACAAATTTAATAGTTTTGGCTTGAAATTGACAAATTTGATAAAATCAAATTAACAAAATTTGACATATTTATGGCTGAACATTTAAAATATTTTAACAGCATATTGGTCTTTTTTTTCAATCCCAAATTGCATCCAATAAAAAAATACACAGAAAAAGTAGAACACAAGATAGCCATGCGCCGTCGTCGCCCCTGCTGCCCACCGTCGCCACCACTGCCACTGTTCCCACCGCGCGCCACCTTGGTCGCCCCTGCTCCAACGGCTCGCCGACACCGTCGCCGCTCCCACCGCTGGCCGACGCCTCCGTCACTCCCGCCGGCACCCCTACTCTTCACCGTCACAGCTGCCACTCCCACCGTGCATCGCCGCGGCTGCCCTTGCTCCTACTGCTGCCGCCACTCTTACCGCAGGCTGATGCCTTCGCTGCTGCCACCATCACCCCTGCTCCCCGTTGTCGCCATCGCCGCTGCCACCGTTCCCCGCCTCGGTAATATCCGCCACACGAGTATCCAGACATGAATGGAGGAGAAGGAATTCGGGGATATAGTATTGTTGTGTTCTTATGTGTATTTTTGTTAGTTTGGCATATAAATACATTTCTTTCAATCTTTTATAAATTGAACCCTAACGGTGTTATGGAAACAGGGTCAAATGACAACTCCGATTTTGAAAGACGGGGTCAAATGAGCAATTGTCCCAAAAAATATATGTTGTTTAGTTAAACCCACAAGAACATTGGCATATTTCTATGGGTTTCTCTTGAACAAAATGAAATTTTGCTACTTTCGTGGTGGTCAAACTCACGAAAAATAAAGTAGCTGGTGTACCGTATAAAAAAGTCGAGCAACCAACCCCCAAAACCTAGTTTGTCATCCCCCGTTCCCAGTCTATCAAGCACCACCTCCGCCACTCGATTCACCCAGATCCCCATCGAACCAGTAGGCGAGTGGGCACAAAGAATAGGGAGGCAAAATAGACTTATTATATGGCACGGCTCAAAGAGTAGGAACATAATAGACTTATTTTAGCTATATATATATATATATATATATATATATATGTGTGTGTGTGTGTGTGTGTGTGTGTGTGTTACAGCCTAAAGAGGAGGGAGGATAAATAGACTTATTTTAAAGAAGGCACGATAGGCCACCCGTGCCTTCGGGCTGACACGGTGGGTTGTGCCTGGGCCTGAGGTGCGGCACGTGGGCCGGCATGGCACGGTCCGAAGTGCCGACCGTGCCGTGCCAGCCCGATGGCCATGGGCCGTGCCTAGCCCGTGTCTAGGTCGGGCTGTGCCGAGCGGGTCTTATAGTCATCTATACCATGCATGCACGCTGGTCCGATCGACCTGCCTGCGATACCAGCTGCCACGAGCTCACGGGCTCCAGATCAGGACAGCCCAAGCCCCAAGCTCAGGGACTGTGTGAATCAAGTCGTCCTGAGTTTGGGTGCTCCAGATTAGGAGGCCCCCACCATCCTGCTGCTACCGCCTAGTCATCCACTAGTTGATTCTGAAATGTGTGTGATTCTCCTTTTTTATGACACAAGTATGCATAGATATAGTTACCTTGTAAACACGACCAAACCCACCCTCGCCGATCTTGTTTTCCAGCGAGAAGTTATCTGTAGCATCCACTATCCGAAATAAGTCGAACAATGAAAACCCTGCGGCTGTAAGAAAATAAATTACTCATGAATTAAGTGAGGTTAGAGAAGGGTTTTCACCCTAGCCATCAGCAAACCAGAAACTAATGTTGCTTCAAAACTACTTAATATTTTTTTCTTAATTCATTATTTACATCTATTTCTTAAATATGTAGAAGTTTAAGAATTAAATTAACCTTGGTGGGCTGGTGTCAATAGGTGTCCAATATCATCATTGCTTGAAGATGCCTTATCGACTCCATCTTTGTTCAAGTTATGATGACCTGCATGCAAGGGTAATCTTATATTTGTATGTAATTATATGTATCTGTACCATGCATGGTCGCGATAAAATAGAAGAAAATTTCTCAAACGGATAATATAGGGACAGAATTATTAGAGAAGTCAACTCTAATCGTCCTTTCATATCAATTTATCTAGATCCGACTTTCTCGGAGGAGATTTGCTCTGGTTCAATAAAAAGTATCTCGAGAGACTGGTACCTTACAGTACCAAATCGTTTTTTATTGTTGGATTTAAACAATGCTTACGCTGCCCAACTAGATCCAATGATCGAAAACGATTCAGTACCCTAAGGTACCAGTACCTCGTGGTACTTTTTGTTGGACCGAAGAAAATCTCTCCCCGGGTCTTCTTCCGCTTCGGCAAGTCTTCGGGCATCGCCGGCGGTGGAGTACGGCGGCTAAAAACAAAGGGCCAAACCGGTGTTGTGGTGGATTGTTGTGTAATCTGGCATCAAAGGGCCAAACCGACTTAAAAATATGCACATGAACAAAACCCCTCCAGCTAAGGCTTTGTTCCAAAACACACTCTCAGCCTCATCGTTTGGCCGATACGAGGAAATACTAAAACGGTATATTTGCAAATGAAAAACAATTTATGAATAAAACTTTTATATACGTGTTTTTAATGATCTAAAAACAAAGGTTGAAACATAGACTATGAAGAAAAAAATCCCAATTACCTCCAAATTTAAGTTTGAAAATTGAAATTTTGGCTAATAAGTATAAGTATAAGAAAAAAATGAGGGCGTTTGGAATGACCTTCTAAGCCCCACGAGCTAGCTCATGAGCTTTCTTACGATAAATGAGAGTAGCCTAAACCTAAACCATATTGTGCTGTTTGGTCTGGTTTAACCGTTGAAGCATTTTTCTTTTTGGAAATGGTGTTTATGTATATTGGGTGTTATAGGAGCCAATTTGGAGTTGAGGGGTTATTTAGACCCTTGGGATGCTTTGAGGGTGTAATATCGACTAACTCCTTGTGAGAATTACTTTCTTTCTCGAGGGTTCTTACATGTAAATTGATGGATTAAAAACAAATAGAGGACAAATGTAGACATGATTTATTAACTTGAAGCCACTTGCCAACTTGGGAGAACAAAATTTTACACAAAACTACAGGTATTTTGCATAATTTATCACAAAACTACATATCTAAGAGTTTGTTTCACAAATCTACATATTTTGTGTCTCTGTTTATCACAAAACTACATGTACTTTGTACAGTCTATTATAAAACTATAGATTTAAAAACTTGTTTCATAAAAATTATACATTTAGTGTATTCATTCATCATAAAACTACACAATTAGTATCTTTAATATTTATTAATTACAAAACTACATATTTAGTTTCTCCATTATCATAAAACTGCAGGTTTTAACAATGCTAAAACCTGCAGTTTTGTGATAATGAAGTCACTAAACCTATAGTTTTGTGATAAATGAAGATATTAAATCTGTAGTGTTGTGAAACAAGTTCTCAAATCTGTAGTTTTATGATATATTGTGCAAAGTACCTGTAGTTTTGTGATAAGCGAATGCACTGAATCTTTAGTTTTGTAAAACAAGTTCTTAAATCTATAGTTTTGTGATACATCGTGCAAAGTATTTGTAGTTCTAGGAGTGCGACATGGCTGTGTCCTTTTCTTCAACTTTAACCTACAACTTTCTCATTTTTCATTAGCATGCTTTTTTAATTTTTAAATCGTGTGGTTTTTTTTAAAAAAATTATGTAAAAGTTTCTTTTTTAAAAAATCAAATGAATTTATTTTTAAAGTTTGTAATAATTAATACTTAATTATCCATGTGCTAATATAATAACTTACTTCCTTTTACAAGCGCTAAAAAGCTAAATCAAGTTAAAAGATTTCAAACCGCTCCATGCCAGGATAGTGCTATATAAAATAGACGAAGACGTCCTACCAGGAATATGCCCCTAAGGGCAGTCCCAACCCATAGTGTCTATAAGCAGTGTCTATGGTGACATGTCAATTAGACATCACAATAGAAACTACACTCTACAACCCATGGTTTCTTAAAGTGGGCCATTAATAAATACATCATCTCTCTTCTCTACCAATCATATTTATTCTCCATCTATTATGAAGACACTATTCTCTCCCAATGCAAAACTTGATGGTGTCTAGTGCATAGGTTCTAGTGTTGAAGCTGTGTCTTGTATGAGACCCGGTTTCTTCCTCTCTTCACTCTCTCTCTTAATTAATATAGTGCCACGTAAGCTAAAAGTCTTACATGACAATGTAGTTAATACCATAGACACTATCCTAGATGGAGGGTTGGGACTGCCCTAATGTAAGAGAAAGCATGGACACAAGAAACACAAGAGATATTTGCATGCAAGAGCATGTAAATATTGCTCTATACTTTATTCAATGAATGGCAAGCTTTGCCGTCGTTAAAAAAAAAACTTGCATACAAGAGGGGGCGGATCCCAAAAAAATACTTCCTCTAATCATAAATATTTATATTTAGAACATAATTTGGTTTTTTTTAAACAAAAACTGAAGTTACTATATATTTTCTTATAGATATATACTTAGTTCAGAAAATGATGTATTTGTTTCTTGAAAATGACAATCATTATATCGTAAACCTATATAGATTTTATGAACTTGTTTTTCTAATAAAACATTTATGCTTAATGTTTGGCACTACTAATTAGGAACAAAGTGCATGCGCACCTGATTTATCCTCTCTAGTTGCAACTGCAATAGGCTCGGTTCTGGCTTGCGGTCTTTCAGAATATGTGTAATCTTCATCTCCGTTAGACCAACTGCAATCAGATACATCGTTAGCACAGTATTTACTAACGATATTGTTGTTTATTGTTTGCAGTAATTAGCTTAAATTTGTAATAACAATAATGAACAACACAAGTGGTATGTGTTTCTAGAATATACTTGATAGGTGTTGCTATAACATCAACATATTTACCTTGATATGTAATTAACAATATTATGATCATAGATTATAATTTACTATGCTTTCACGCGATCACTTGTGTCTTTGTTAAATTTTTAAATGTGTCATTTACTAATCTGAATTAAACAATATTATCGATACAGCAAATAATTAACCATGATTATATCGACCTTGTAAAATGTATTATGAAGCTTATATACTTATGTGTTGAGGCAAATTAATTTACTTATAGAAGATATATATACTACATACACGCATATCATCGCCATATGAAATTTATAATGCATGTGTTATATTAAATTCAAATTTACTACTCCCCGTTTCAATTGTCATTTTAGCAAATCTCATACTAAACTAAGAGGTGTGACAAATTATATTGATACACTCATTAGTTACGTTCAAGTCATCTTTCCCAAAGCATACATTAAAATTGCTTGTGAGGACTACTACTGTGGTTGTATTGATAAAAAGTACAAAAGAAAAGACATCTCTAGAACACAAAATTCCTAACGATTTTTGAGTAAATATGTACTCCATCCGTCCCATCGAAAACCAACCTAGTATCAGATGTGACACATCCTAATACTATGAATCTGTACATATCTCTGTCTATATTCGTAGTACTTGCTAAAATAATTCTAAGTTGATTTTTTATGTGACGGAAGGAGTATAGTGTAATAAATAGACCAAAATCGAAGTGCGTACCTCAATCCCAAAATATAATAACTTAAATTTTAGCTATATACCTAGACAAGCATGTGTCTACATATATATAGACAAAAAATTATATTGTTATATTTTTGAAACGGTGAGAGTATTTTTTTTCTTGTTTAGAGGACCCTAGAATAAAAGATATATGTAGGTGTGAATGTGTAAAAGTGGCATGATAATTTGTCAGCTCTAGAAGACAAAACGCGTGTTGGGATTTTTATATAGCTATAGGGGAATGTGTACGAACTCGTCATTTTGGTATTTTCAATTATTCATAATGGTTGACTTCAAGTCTTCGACGACGTATCCAAAAAAATAAAAAGTGCTAGATAATGATGCGATCGACTGACCGTGATGCTCGTGCCGAACGATTGGACGGGGAGCTCCGCAAATTCTGAACATATGATATACCATCATATAGTACATACATGTGTGAGAAAATAATGAGAGAGAGAGAGAGAGAGTATGGTATAGTAAATTGGGGGTAATGGTATATCGATCGATCGTATCTACGTACCTGCGTGTGAGGTGCTGAGTCAAGACGCCGGGAGAAGACGCTGGTGGTGTAGATGCAGGTGATGACGGGGAAGAGCTGGAGCCTGGAGGTAGAAGTCGATCTTCTCCTTGATGCGCTGGAACTGCTCGGCGATCTTGGCGCCGCGGAAGAAGCGGCGGAAGTAGCTGCTGGCCTCGCAGGAGGAGACGAGCACGACGGCCTCCCGGAGCGTCCCCTCCAGCTTCTCCAGCGGGGCGGCGATCCGCGGGTCGTCCCTCTCCACGTGATGCAGGAGCCCCCCGACCGTTTCCACGTGCTCCGCCAGCTGCCGGCACTCGTACTTGTTGCGCCGCACCTTCTCCGCCCGCTCCGTCACCATGCTGATCAGACCGTAGGCGTCCACGCCGGCGATCTGGGCCACAGTCGCCACCGGGTCCACACTGCTCCATATCGGCATCGTCTAGGTAAGCTAGTAGCTCTCCCTCACCGGACACCACCCTCTCAAGCTCTCATCTGCATCTGCCTAGCTGCCTGCAGACTGCGCCTGTCTCCTGGCTGCTCTCTGCTTATATATATATGTAGGTCTGCTTACACGGAACCACAATGGAAGCATCGTCCATGAAAGAAACTGCAGGTTGTGTTAATTGCGAATTCTGCGGGGTGACGACCAATAAAATAGTCAGACGCGGGGTGACGACCTGCTGCTGCTGAAGGATGGAATGCTCGCTACGTATATCGTTTTATTTTCCACATTTATAATTTAGTTATTTCTGAGATTTTTGTTTACTTCAATTAGCCGATCGATCTATGTACGTATAAATGAATCGTAGGATTAGGTTGATTAGATTAATTAGCGCCTAAGGAACGAGTCTAGAAGAATTGGTGTGTGATTAATTAGGGTCAACTACTATAACTGTTAGACGACGTACGACACTTCAACGGATCTCGGTCGATCGGTGTCGCCCATATGGCGGAAGCGGTCAATTTCTACTTCATGTATTATTGAGGCAACAACTAGACGTCCGGCGTTGGGCGTAACATAAGACACTAGTGCAGAATAGATTATCCATGTTGGGGGTAGGAACCCTTATATATATCGGCGGGGGTCTTATCACGGATTAGTGGTTACTGATGTGAAAACTCATAGCTGTTGAACAAGCAGTCATCACCGATAGGATAATCTTTAAATAAAATCCAATCACCGATATATAACGTTTAACCCAGCACACGAGGCATCCTACAACCCGTCAATTAGGTTCTTTTCTTTAGACTTATAGCCAACTTATAACCCAAAAAGTTTAAGTCTAAATAAACAAGTACCACCTCTATTTTTTAATATATGACGCTGTTGACTTTTTTTCACATATTTGACCATTCGTCTTATTCAAAAAATTTACGTAATTATAATTTATTTTGTTATGAGTTGTTTTATCACTCATAATACTTTAAGTGTGATTTATATCTTATACATTTACATAAAATTTTTTAATAAGACAAATGGTCAAACATGTGAGAAAAAGTCAACGGTGTCAACTATTAAAAAACGGAGGGAGTATTTTTTTTTCGTTTCAAAGCCAAAAGCTATTACAATGTTAAATCAAAAGCAGGTTAGAGAAGATTTTTTGGCTTATTTGAAGTGGGGATGTAACTCCACATTAAACTTTATGTTTAAAACCGTTGGCTTATAAAACATATATATAAGTTAAAATGTAAGCTTAAAATCTAAACCAATAAGTCTAACCCAAAATAAAGAAGCCTGTTATGAATGACTTATCAGTGATGGCTTCTCGTTTAGAATCGACGACCATGTTGCTCATCCGTGACATTTCTTTTTCTAAAGAAATCGTTTTATTGGCCAGCCTAAGGTATTCACTACAAGAAAAAACAGAATATCCTTGGCGGCCAGAATATGGAGTCCCCCCCCACCCAACATACTTTTCTCCTTTGTCTTATAATACATTTCCTTTTCTTGTCAAAGCCTCTATGTATGTCCTTCACCATGTCGACCACCTTTTCTCTAGTTACATCCGATGGAATTGGGAGAAGTTCTCTCTTATTGTTAAAATTTTTGTTCATTCTTCTATACGAGTGACGTAGCGGGAGCCGACTTCTATGGCCTATTTAAACTATCTTTCGCGACTTATTTAGCCACTTACTGTGTGTATTTTCCAAATAGTCCGAGCAAGCTTTATTTTCTTTCACAGGGCCTCATCTTTTCTCTTATACATATGCTTATCCGTCAAAATTTGAATTTTCAACTTTAAATTTAGAGTTGATTTTGAGGTTTTTTCATCGAAGTTTATTTTTCAGCATTTGCTTTTAGATCACTAAGAACACGTATATAAAAGTCTTATTCACAAATTACTTTGCATTTGCAAATATGTCATTTCGCTTATTCTACGATGGGTCTGATAGTTTGTCCCGAAAGGTTACCAAGTGTCAGGTAGTCGTTAATGGAGCAAAATAATAGGGTACGTAGATTGAAGTTCTCCCTACTAATTAAATACATCCCAAGTATGTACACAGTCTCACCATAGCGTTTCTAGGTCATCGATTACAAGCTCCAGTAATACATCAATATCATTACTAGATTGTTTCAGTACTTGGATTAGCAAGCAAAATATAATGCGCTTCCTTTTGAAACACAACTATGGTGGTAGGTTATAATTTGCTATAAGAACTAGCTAAGTGCTTTGACAACTGCATAAATCTCCGAAAGGATTCATGCAAATCCGTATATAAACATAGCTTTCAATCTGTGGCATAAGCTTACCATTGGTCCTTCAATCCGTGGCATGCAAATATACTAACTCTACTTTCTTGGAATTGGCAAAGATATCTTGGAACGATCGATGATAGGTAGATACCTCACAACCTTCGCCGGACCACCCACTTTAACTTTTTCCCCCTTCGTCAGAACTTGTCTATCACTTGTATCAAGAAGTCTTGCACACAAGACAAGACTCTAAGTCGGCGTATTCCTTATAGTACAATATGCAGTTGTTTGGGCAAGCATAAATTCTATGAACCTCTATCCCTAAGAGACACAAAAGCTATTTTGCTTCATTTTTCGTCTTAGGTAATGTGTTCTCCTCTGGAAGTAGGTCCTTCAACAAACTTCCATCCACTACTCATGTGTTTTGCCTTGCATCTAGCGTATAGAGGTGTTTGTCAATCACTGACCAACCTGGCGAACTTCATGAAATCTTTCTTGTCGTAATCTGGCTCCTCACCATCACGCAACATTGCTTCCAGAGAAGTTATTGACATCAACCATTCTGTCGCCCAATGGAGTTCAGCTTCATCTTCCTGATTTTGTCCACCGCTCGTTTCATCTGCAATATTGATTGATTCTTGCTCTCCATGCTTGGTCCAACATGTGCAGCCCTTTATAAATCCTCGACATATTAGATGAAAAGTATATCTACTCTTCTGGCAAGCATCTCCTCATTTTTGCAATCTACACATGGACAAGTCATATAATCATTGTTCCTTCTTTTCTTCCCCTTTTCCGCGACATTTATAAAATTTGCAACGTTCTTTGATATGTCGATCAATTCCATACATCCAACTTCTACCCATCTCTGCAAATGCGAACAAATATTAGATATATTTTTTTATGATATATACTACAAAATTTATAGAGATGGTTTACTTATTAATTGGATCCATGCCACTACAAATGTGGCACTACAAATGTGGATCCACATAAATGAAGTGTTAGGCTGTGTTCGGCAGCCTGGGTTGGGAACCCATGTCCCATGCACGGAAAACGGAGTGGTCCATTAGCACGTAATTAATTAAGTATTAGCTAATCTTTGTTTCAAAAATGAATCAGTATGATTTTTTTAAAGTAACTTTCGTATATAAACATTTTAAAAAACTCACCGTTTAGCAGTTTGAAAAGCATGTGCGCGGAGAACGAGAGGGGGAGTTGGGAACAGGGGCAACGAACACAGCCTTAGACCCTATTTGGATCAGGGACTAAAGTTTTACTCCCTGTCATGTTTGGACACTAATTAGAAGTATTAAACTGTTGATGTAAAAACACGAGGCCTGGGAGATCTGCTTAACTCCAGTGCAGGTCCAAAACTTGCCTTTGGGTATGTGAGCGTGCCAGTTGATTTGATCTTGCAATTAACAAGAAACAAAGACAAAGAAACCGCGGTTAAATCCATAAACGATAGCCGATCGGCTAGGTGCCGATGACATATCATTTATCGTTGAGCCGATGTCATATATGCATTGATCGGTAGTCATTAATAAGTAAGACAGAACTAAATATACTCGACCGGCTGTAGATATTAACAGTATGTAATCCTTATGTCGATATACACTTAAATCAAGTGATTGGGATAGATCGGTCGCCATGCCGAGACAGTATAAATCACTTAGATCGAAATATATACTAACAACAAGATAGATCTAGCATGTATCGGCTAATACTCCAATACCACTCTATATTAAGATATTAAAGCAAGTAAAATATATCAAACAAAAAACCTAATATATCTAAATGTGACAAGATCTTAACATAAAGGGCACATTTAATATATCAGTAAAGCATACAAGATAAATGTATTTAAATAAGGTAAGATCGGCTGAAACCCCGATGCTACCCTAATCGGCAACCAAAGACAGGCTAGAGATTGAGATTCTAATCACGACTAATAAGATCAAACTCAACTGATGCAGCTATAAGTATGAAAAGAAAGACAATATCTAGACAATCAAGCCGTTGGATGTTTCATAGAGTGGTAGATATCTTATATAATCTAAGTCAACGTCGGTATTTAACTTAATCGGCTGCCTTCTACTAACAGACATTAGCCGATTAAGGGTTAAATAGCGATATTGCCGGAGATTATATAAGATATATGATAACTCGACGAATTATATAAACAAGATTAGAGTATCATAAAAATGGAAGCACTAATCCCGAGAACGCAAGCGGCCATAACAAGTTTTACCTCTTGTTGAAGATCGAAACCGATGCAGCTCAACCCGAAAGCAAGAACTCGTCTTGACAAAACGAAAGTAAAAAGGGTGGTGATGCGCCGAGATTGTATTGAGCGTGTGTTAGTTTGATTACATGGGGCTCGGGTCTATTTATACTCGAGAATTACAAAATATGTCCATATCGGACACGACTCTTATCTCTAACAAACTCTAAGAAACTATAAGTCTTTGCGGCAGACTTTTGCCCAAACATATCTCTAAAGAAATTACATAAAATATCCTAATTAATAGATATAATTGCCTTCTCAGGACTCTATCCATGCGTAGCAATCATCATGAAGCACATCAACCTAACCCGACAACATACGCAATGTTATACTATCGGATTCGGCTCGATCAGCTAACCCCATCCGACTCAAACTCTGCCGATCTTAGTTGTAGCCGATTCGGACTCCAGCCGATCTTCACTCTGTTTTCAGGACGATCTCCATCTCGAACTCCATCTCGATTTCTTCTTCATCTCCGATTCTTGGATTACCAAATTTGGTTGTTAACATAAACGTAGACTGATGACAAAACCCATTCCATAACCCTGGACTAATTCGCGAGACGAATCTATTAAGCCTAATTAATCCATGATTAGTCTATGTGATGCTACAGTAAATATGTGCTAATTATGGATTAATTAGGCTTAAAAATTTTGTCTCGCGAATTAGCTCTCATTTATGCAATTAGTCTATGTTTAATTAATACTTCGAATTAGCGTCAAACATTCGATGTGACAAGACTAAATTTTTATCCCTGGTCCAAACACCACCTTACGCTAGACAGGCCATTATATGCACCGACATGCAACACTTACGACGGGCCCACATATATATGCCTTTCGTCCATCGCGCAAATGCAATGACGCGGATTTAGAGCAAGTATTACAACAGGCTGTAAGCATACTAATCTCTACGTGGAGGAGGGAGAAACGAAGAGAGAGATCTGGACGGGCGACTCGCGACGCGCCTGCTTGAGGCCGGCGGATACGCGCTACGGCCGCTGCTATTGGCTTAGGCTCGTTTATGTGCATTAAATACTAGCGGGTCCGTCACCACCGCGTGGTGATCTGGCGCGTGTTACAGCCATAGTTATTGGGACCGGACCGGTGGTCCGACCGGAGAAAACCGGAACCAGCCGGTCAGGTCCAGCTAAAGGACCAGGCGTGCAATCAAACCTGAGAAAACCAATTAAACCGTCGGTTTTTTTTGAAGAAGTCGGTGGAAAACCGGGAACCGGGGGCGCTGGTGGGGACCTGAGGAGAAGGGGCGCTGGTGGGATGGAGAGAAGAAAGTACATAGTAAAATGTTGTGGGGTGGGATTCGAACCCTCAACCTCATCCTTCCCTACCAGGAACCCCACCAATGAGCTATGTTGGACGTAGTGATAATAGTGCATATCTCACACTAATTGAACCGTGTTGAGCTGGCGGTTCAACCGGTTGAACCAATCAAACCGTGAACCGAGACTATGACCGGCTCAATGTTCGGTCCGGTCCTAATAACTATGGTTACAGCCGACTGCCGGCGAAATCATTAGCCATGCTCTTATCGTCCACGCCTCACTTCCAAACTCCCGCGTCCGTCTCGCTGTTGGGTTTCGTGCATGCCGTGTGTACGCGCTCGAGCCTCGAGAGAAGTGGAGAGCCCCATGTGCTCCCGCGGCCCACGCATACCTGGCCGGCCTCCAAGCCAACTCACGCGTATGCGCACGCGTCCCTGCAATCTCCATGACATGTTTTGACTCCGTCTAGCACGTCCCCGTTTACGTTACGACTGCGAGATTGCGGTCGGCTTATGCTCACGAGATAGAAGTGAATCGGGCTTCATTCAGCTGGAGATTTTGGATGGGAAAAATCGATCGGTAGTTCAGATTTGAGGCCGTACGTCATTTTGAAACAGGTCAAAGAAGATGGAAAACACTGGCGAGTGATTAACCACATGCTGGCAATTTGGTTGGGTCGGGATAGTTCGAACAGTTAATTTGCACACAGGTCGTGTTAGTTGGCTCGTTTGGGCTGGTTATGTTGTTTAGACACAATCCTGTATTTCATGGTCTTGCTATATGGAGGACTCTGTCTGAGTCTACCATTGCTCTGTGTAAAAAAGAATAAAAAATATTCTCTGCTATGCATTTCCATGGTCTACTACTGAGCTTATTCAATCAAGACTCAGCAGCAATATCACTGCACCAAATACCACAATGCTAAAAAAATGGAAAACAAAAGTCATTGGCTATATGCATGTTTTGGATATAATACTCCGAGCAAAATAATATTAAGTTTTAAGTGGCATTTCTCACTTGATTCTGACCACGGATATTTTTCGTCCAAGTGGCAGCAATCCAAAATCTATCAGTATAAGATAACATGCAAAGGAAAATCGACAATAATCAACAAAATCTTTCTTCCACATAAAACCTTAAGCAAGTATTTTCTATAGATCTTGCCATCAGGTTAGGTTTGCTGAGATGGTATACACATGTTATGTTTCACTAGGAAGGAATCCTACGCATATACGCAAGTAAATTATTTATAAAAGATTGCTAAAAGAAGTTATATTTTACCATATTAGTATCCGCATATTTATTATTTATAAAAAAATACTAAAGAAATTCTATCGCACCATATTCGCTATAAAGACGGTAGATTACCTTATAATTATATAAAAAATATATGTGCTATAGATTTTGATATACCAAATGATAATAATATCTGTCATACTCAAACAGAAATTACTTTATCCTGGTTATATGTAAACCCACCTAACACCGCTATGTGTTATCGTTGTTTTGAAAGCTGGTGCATTTTTAATAGATGGAATTGCATCCATACCAAAACAAACCTAATACATCATTAATACAATGAAAATTTAATAATAACAATATAGATTTTATCATCGCACATAACTTAATAATAATTAAATTAGATCTACAATCATAAAAGTAAAATGAACTTAATGTTCCCAAAATATATTACTTAGAAAGCAAAATTTATGCTAAAAAATGAGATCATACAACTAATATTTGATACATTTATGTCTTTGGATTATTTTATGTTTAAAGATCCATATTCACTACAATTCTGTCGAGGGTGTAGATCCTGACCACGGTATTTGTAGAGCATGGGGATTCTTGGTGCCAAGGTATACGCGAGATTGAGGTAAAAGAAAAGGGAGACATGGATTTTATATAGGTTCGATACTGTTAACTGATAGGTAACAGCGCTACTCCTGTTGGCCGAA